GCCGTTAAACACTTGAGCCAAAGGTAACGGGGGCACCTTCACTCCCCAGTCACCTGAATGCTTACATGTTAACACCCCCTCCTCCTCCTCCTCCGCCGCCTCCTCCTCCTCCTCCTTCTCCGCCTCCTCCGCCTCCTCCTCCTCCTCCGCCTCCTCCTCCTCCCCTCATCATCATCATCATCAGCATCATCATCATCATCATCATCATCATCATCATCATCATCATCATCATCATCCTCTTAATCACCCTCATCATCATCATCGTCATCGTCGGCAGCAGCATCAACAGCAGAAGCATCAGCATCATCACCAGCATCAGCATCATCATCAGCATCATCGTCATCATCATCATCATCATCATCATCAGCATCATCATCATCATCATCATCATCATCATCATCATCATCATTACCACCATCATCATCCTTATCAGCATCAGCATCATCAGCATCATCAGCATCAGCATCAGCATCCACATAATCATCATCATCATCATCATCATCATCATCATCATCATCAGCATCATCATCATCATCATCATCAGCATCAGCATCAGCATCAGCATCATCATCATCATCATCATCATCAGCATCAGCATCGTCATCATCATCATCATCAGCATCATCATCATCACCATCATCAGTAGCATCACCATCATCATCGTCATTATCAGCATCAACATCATCATCATCATCAGCATCATCATCGACTTACCATCACACCGTCAGCATGTCAACACATGGCGAACTTACCATCATCGACAGCATCATCATCATCATCATCATAATCATCATCATCATCATCATCATCAACAACATCATCATCATCATCATCATCATCATCATCATCATCATCATCGTCATCATTATCGTCGTCAGCATCATCATCATCACCATCATCATCATCAGCAGCAGCATCATCACCGTCATCACCAGCAGCAGCATTGTCATCGTCGCAAGCGTCATCATCAGAATCATCAGCAGAATCATCAGCAGGATCGTCATCACCAGCATCATCAGCATCATCGTCAGCAGCAGCATCATCAGCATCATCATCAGCAGCAGCATCAGCATCATCATCAGCAGCATCATCATCATCAGCATCAGCAGAATCGTAATCATCGTCGCCATCACCATCAGCATCATCCGCAGCATCATCAGAATCCGCATAATCATCATCATCAGCAACATTAGCATCCTCATCATCAGCGTCGTCGTCAGCGTTGCCATCCTCCTCCTCCTCATCATCATCACCACCACCACAACCATCATCATCATCATCATCATCCCAACATCATCACCGCCATCATCACCACCATCATCAGCATCAGCATCAGCATGAGCATGATCATCTCCAGCCGCAGCAGCGACGTCGTCGTTGCCGTAATCTTAACCGTAGTCATCATCACCACCGTCATCATCGACAACAACATAATTAGCCTGTGACGTACCAACCCTCTCTATACATGTGGCGATTCTACTCAGGACCACTGAATGCTGACTGGCATTCTGAAGGACCCGCAGTGCGCAAGAAGAGCATCCAGCAGTGATTTCAAGCAGAAAGTGGCAACAGTTGCGCAGATCGCAAGCCCCCAGGGGGCGGCGAGGTCCCGAGGTGGTCCGCGTATGACATACCTCCGCTGGGCCTCCCAGGAGCCCACGAAAGTGGCGACAGTTGCGCAGGTCGCAAGCCCCCCAGAGCCCAGCGAGGTCCCGAGGTGGTCCGCGTGGGACCCACCTCCGCTGGGCCTCCCAGGAGCCCACGAAAGTGGAGACAGTTGCGCAGATCGCAAGCCCCCCAGGGGGCGGCGAGGTCCCGAGGTGGTCCGCGTATGACGTACCTCCGCTGGGCATCCCAGGAGCCCACGAAAGTGGCGACAGTTGCGCAGGTCGCAAGCCCCCCAGGGGGCGGCGAGGTCCCGAGATGGTCCGCGTAGGACCCACCTCCGCTGGGCCACCCAGGAGCCCACGAAAGTGGCGACAGTTGCGCAGATCGCAAGCCCGCAGGGGCAAGCGAGGTGCCGAAGTGGTCCGCGTGGGACCCACCTCCGCTGGGCCTCCCAGAAGCCCACGAAAGTGGCGACAGTTGCGCAGATCGCAAGCCCCCCAGGGGGCGGCGAGGTCCTGAGGTGGTCCGCGTGGGACGTACCTCCGCTGGGCTTCCCAGGAGCCCACGAAAGTGGCGACAGTTGCGCAGGTCGCAAGCCCCCCAGGGCCCGGCGAGGTCCCGAGGTGGTCCGCGTGGGACGTACCTCCGCTGGGCCTCCCAGGAGCCCACGAAAATGGCGACAATTGCGCAGATCGCAAGCCCCCCAGGGCCCGGCGAGGTCCCGAGGTGGTCCGCGTGTGACCCACCTCCGCTGGGCCTCCCAGGAGCCCACGAAAGTGGCGACAATTGCGCAGATCACAAGCCCCCCAGGGGGCGGCGAGGTCCCGAGGTGGTCCCATGGAACCCACCTCCGCTGGGCCTCCCAGGAGCCCACGAAAGTGGCGACAGTTGCGCAGATCGCAAGCCCCCCAGGGCCCGGCGAGGTCCCGAGGTGGTCCGCGTGGGACCCACCTCCGCTGGGCCTCCCAGGAGCCCACGAAAGTGGCGACGGTTGCGCAGATCGCAAGCCCCCCAGGGCCCGGCGAGGTCCCGAGATGTCCGCGTGGGACCCACCTCCGTTGGGCCTCCCGGGAGCCCACGAAAATGGCGACAGTTGCGCAGGTCACAGACGGCACGAGAGAAGAGGAGGAGGGAGCACAGGAAAAAGGAGAGGAGGAGGAGAGGAGGAGAGGAGGAGGAGGAGCAGGAGGTGGAGACAACACTGCTCTATTCAAAACGATACCCAACACCACAGGCGTGCATCATCACCAGCATCAGTATCAGCAGCAGCAGCAGCAGCATCCTCCTCATCACCATCATCATCATCATCATCATCATCATCATCATCATCATCATCATCATCATCATCATCATCATCATCAACATCAGTAGCAACAGCATCAGCATCATCATCAGCATCACCAGCATCATCATTATCATCAGCAGCAGCATTCGCATCAGCAGCAGCATCATCATCGCAATCGTCATCGTCGTCATCATCGTCATCGTTGTCCTCGTCATCCTTCTCAACATCATAATCCGCATCACCACCACCGTCCTCATATTCCTAATCCTCATCCTCATCAACATCAGAACCGCCATCATCATCACCACTGCGCTCCACACTCCCCCAATCTACCTTCACCCCTCCTCGGGACACCGCGTCTCCGCTGCACTCCTGGAGCGCGCGAGTGTGTTGGTGCGAATGCGCGTGCAGGCGTGCATGTTACTCCCAGGGCTGACGAGGTGCCCATGCTGTTCACCGCAACCAGGACACTGCTTGGCAATCGGAATGAGCCTCGTGATGATGAATACTCGAACGCATGTCCTCGGCGTCTTCCGAGACTCTTGCCTCAGCCTTCCAGCAAACCTGAACTGAAGTCAGGCGAGGATCAATGAAAGTGGATCGAGCGCTCGCGCCCGTCGCGCTGATGGACTGATGCTTACACACGTGGACAAACCTCCCGATCTCCCCATATACAAATTTGCTTCGCGATCGACTGGGATCCTCGACGAGGGTAGCCGCCATTCTAGATACTGGCAAGCAGATCCTCCTCCTCCTCCTCCTCCTCCTCCCCCTGCGTTTTATCATCATTCCTAGCCCTCCTCTTTCGGAAAATAGCGGCTGCCCCACTTCTTTGTTTCGCTGCATGCTCCTACACTTGCCTGATCAGGGCATTGTTCCTGGATGGACTAGTTGGGAAACGCAAATCATCAATCATTTGAAATAATGGCTGCTGTGTATCAGAGGAAAATTAGACGTACCAGGACAACTGTTTAAAGGCCCTGGCGATGCAACGGGCTGTTGCATAGATCGACCACGGGCACATCATAGCCTCGGCCAGGGATCATTGAAACAAGTCAATGCTAATGTCGGACAAAATCTGCTTCGGCAGACAACGACACGGAAGGACTCTTGCTGTTCAGTTCCAGAGAATATGCCGCAAGACCGACATGGTGGACACAACCCGCGGGAAGAGTTGCTGCGTGCTTGCAGTCGTCCTCTCCCAGCAAAACCCGACTGCAAACAAAGAATGCGTGCCCTGGACGCTTCACTTACATTCAAGTAACTCGCGCCATGTTGAGTGTGTCCTTGAACGGCTTCGCGCTCACCCCTAGTGAAAAGCAACACAGTACGGATCCTCAACTGCACGGTTCGACACGATGTTAAGATACCCCTCATCTTCTTTGCCCTCTGCCCAAAGTCCACGTAACACTCACACCGACAAAACACAGATCCGCGCAAGAGCTGCCCATGCGGCGCGCCTGGGCCTGCACGCGAAGCGAGGCCTCTTCAGAGCGCATTGCGTGAGAGATATGAATCAGGACATGCAACCGCGAACGCCTCCTCCTCCTCCTCCCTCCCTCTGTTTTGGACACCCGAAATAGGTACCGAAAAGATGGGTACGATGCCCAACAACAAACAGTGACCAAAACCGACGTCGGCCGCTGTTCGGCAGGCGGCATTCGGTCTCAAATGCACAAGGCCCGCGGCGGCATCAACAGCGAATCCGGTTCAAAATATAAAAGGAAAACTGTCTGTCTGTGTGTCCACCCTTTCCAAACCCATGTCGATCGTCCCGATCCACTTGCCAGTGACAGCCACACCCCAACAAGGGGCCGCAAGAACGGGAGGTGGAGGAGCAGGAGCGGGCAGCAGGAGCAGAGCAACGGGGAGGAGCAGGCGCAGGAGCAGGAGCAGGAGCAGAAGCACGGGCAGGAGCACGAGAAAGGGACGACCGAGGAAGAAGCGATGAGGACGAGGGAGGAGGACGAGGGAGCAGGAAGGGGGAGGAGGATGAGGGAGGAGGAGGGGGGAGGAGGATGACAACGACCACGGCGACGCCGACAACGCCGACGACGACAGCATCGACGGCACCGACGGCGGAGACCAGAGACCCGCAAGGCACCGGCCTCTGCGGGCGTGCTCTCCCCCACGACGGTGCAGTCCACCAGCTGCGGGGCGACGACTTGCCATCATGTCGTCTTCCTCCTCCTCCTCCTCCTCCTCCTCCTCTTCTTCTTCTGCTTATTATTATTTTCATTGTTATTTTGCTTAGCTTTCTTATTACTACTATGATTATTTTTTCCTACTAGTACTCTCATTATTACTCGCAATACTCATAGTACACATTCTTATGTTTGTTAGTATCGTTATTCTGATTGTTATTCGTATCCTTTATATCATTACTATTAGCATGTGGCATGTTATTATTATTCGTCGTATTAAAATATGTCTTCTTAGTCGTGTTATTATGATGTGTACTAGTAGTATCACTCTTCTACATATCGATATACTCAGTAGCCGTCTTACTTTTATGATGTTCAGTGTTGGCATGTGTATCTTTAGTACGCGTATTATTAGTGCTAGTCTTCTCAATCTTAATAGTAAATCTTCTTCTTTCTAGTAGTATGACTTTCCTTTATTGTTATTATTCATCCAACTAGTAACATTCGAAGTAATGGTATTCTTCATGTTGGTATTACTAGTATGATTTCTCCTCCTATTCCTCCTCCTCCAGCTCCTGCTCCTCCTCTTCCTCCTGCTCCTGCTTCTGCTCCTCCTCCTCATCTTCCTCCTCCTCCTCCTCTTCATCCTCCTCCTCTCCCTCTTCCCCTTCCTCTCCTTCCTCCTCTCCCTCCTCCCTCCTCCTCCTCCCATTCCTCCTCCTCTCCTTCCCTCCGTCTCCCTCCCCCTCCCCCCCTTTGTCCCGTCCATTTTTCCCCCCTCCTCCCTCTCTCCCTCCCGCCCCGCCCGCCACCCCCGCCACCCCTCCCTCCGTCCCTCCCTTCCTCCCTCCCTCCCTCCCCCCCGCCCTCCCTTCCCCCCTCCCTCCCTCCTTCCCTCCCCTCCGCATCCCTCCTTCCCTCCCTCCCTCCCGCCTCCCTTCTCCCCACCCCCCCTTTCCAGGGGGCGCGGCGGTGGCTTATGGAAGCCCTTGGTGGACATCCCGGCTGCTGTTCCAGGCGTTCCCGAGAGGACGGTGCGCCAAGGAGGGCATCGGCACCCTGAACATCATCGTTCCTCCCCTCAATTCCCACTTCCCGGTGAGGACCGTCTTTATAGGCCTCGCCAGTGAGGCCCGTCAATAGGCCTCACACCCCACGCAACTTCCATCATAGGGGTTGCGTGGGTCCCCACTCCCATTACTTACATGAGGACGTCAATCGCCACCAGACGGGGCAGAGGACTCCTCTAGGGACCCTCGGCCAACGAAGAAGTCCCTAGAGGAGGGCCCAACGTACCTCCACACCTTTACAACTTCCCATGATGGCGTCAACTGCCACAACCATGGTTTTCCTCCCTGAGGCCGTGAACGGGATTCATTCCCCTGCCAGCTTATTGTGCCTGTCAACATCAGTTCTCCTATTCACTATTCATTATAGCATGTTGGCCACCCCCCACCTTTAGACCTACCGCCAAGGGGTGCTGAACCTCTCACACCCCGCATTCGCGTGACGGGTCGACCCTTACCGCTTCGGCGTCGCCTTTGGGGGTCGACCCCGTTCCCCACCACCTAACCCGTGCTCGCCAAGGACTGGGACGACCCCCAAACAGCAAGGGTTTTTCTCGTCCGTGTTCGCCACGGCGGTCCTGGGTCCCATCTTTGGGCCCCTCGTCGCTGTTTTCCGAGCCGTGTCTGGCCGTGGCGGCGTAACGCTCTGCATCTAACCTCCCGCCCTCCGACCGCCTGCCCCTCCCCGCTGCCCGCCAGCGCGGTGCGCTCGCGGGGGGGAAGTCTCCGATCAAGTTTTCGAGCTAGCCTCAGGCCCAAGAGCGCCCCTGTCAGAACACGCCGCCGCACGTCCGTTCCGCCAGCGCTTAGGAGAACAACCATTTCCTGGAGGAGCTTCCTGCCGCGGGAACGGACAATCCCTCCCCCCAATGGGCTTAACAGTTTTAACGCCTTCTTTTGATTTGCTCGCGGGCGATCGTCTGCCGAACACCCCTGCCCGCGGCGCCGAAACGACGGGCGAGGGGCCCGAAGGAAGGACCGGAAGAGACGAGGGACGGACCCCAGGAACCCAGACAGAGCCGAGCGAGGGACTCGACCGAACACACAGGGACAACGAAACATCGAGGGCCCGAAACAGAGCGCAACGAGTGCTAACTTAATTAACACTCCTTAAATCAAAATGGGCGGCGCTAGAGAGAGAGAGAGAGAGAGAGAGAGAGAGAGAGAGAGAGAGAGAGAGAGAGAGAGAGAGAGAGAGAGAGAGAGAGAGAGAGAGAGAGAGAGATCTCAAGACAGCCTCCGCATCCCAGCCACCACCCACGTATCCCCACACGCACGCGCACACACACACACGCACAATCGCAGAGCAAGGACAGGAGTGAGGGGAGGGCGGGAGGACAGCTCAGACAGCCCGCTTCCCGCGGTTGACACGTAGAGCGGGCCGATCAAGATGGTCATCATCGTCTGGAGGCCGGAACGCATTCGGCGGGAAGTGGAACGGCGTTGCCTGAGCAGCATGTGCTCTGAGCCAGGCACGCGCAACGGCATCCCGAGCATTCTACCAATCAGCACCAGGAACGACGGCGTGAGGTCGACGACGCACACGAACAGCTTGACCAGGTGCTCTGAGCCAGACGTGCGCCACGGCATCACGAGCACTCCACCAAGCAGCACCAGGAACAACGACGTGAGTAGAAGGGCCAGACTCTGCCGTCGCAGCCCCCTTCTGGAAGTCGACGTCGAGACGACAGCGCACAGGTACAGCAGGCACAGCTTGAAGACCAGCAGGCTCTCGATGAGGAAAGAGTTTCCCAGGATCTCGAGGGCCAGCAGGCTCTCGAAGACCAGCGGGCTCACGAAGATCAGCAGGCCCTCGATGAGGAGGAACATCATGAAGACCAGCAGGCTCTCGATGAGCAGCAGGAACATCATGAAGACCAGCGGGATCTCCACGAAAGCTGTATAGACCCACTTCAGGAGGATCCAAATGACCAGGAAGTCCGAGACGACACGGCTCAGGAAGGTCGTCAGCAGGAACAGCTTGAAGATCATAAGGTTCTCGGCGAGCAGCGAGTTTTCCAGGCTCCAGACCAGCAGGCACTCGAAGACCAGTAGGCTCTCGATGACCAGCAGGCTCTAGAGGAGCAGGAAAATCAGGAGCGTCACCATGATGTAAATAAGGAAGGTCGTCGTAGCGGCTCGCATCTGTGGCTGGCGGCGCCCAGCAACCAGGAGCGAGCTCTGCATTCACATGAACAGGAAGTCGGGGCTGGAAGGGATCGGCCTCGGCGTTGAGCGGAAAGGCCATCATCTTCAGCGTCGACCCGAGGACAACGGCCCGAACAGCCGCAGGCGGCGGCGGCATCCCGCTCGCGCATGGCGGCGGGGCGTGGCGGCACCAGTTGCCAGTCCCCAGGGCGTCAATGGTATCCTGGAGCTCCGCGTCGTCGAGCCCCACCAGGCGGGCCGCCGCGATCGCGGCGCCCAGCGTGGGAATGTGGCCGCCCAGGCGATCTCCAAGGCGCCAGTGCGCGTCGAGGGCGACACGGAGGCCACGCAACCGGTAGGACATAGCGGCGGCCCTCGTCTGCCCGAGCTGCGCCCTCCGTTCGCGTCGAAGGCGCCGAGCCAGGGTCCGAGCACTCGCCGCAGCCCAGGCTTTGCCGCCAGCAGAGACAGCACGAGACATTGCGGCCGCTTGCGCGCCTGCGCCTGGAGCAGGCGCGCTGGCGAGGGCCTCCCGAAGCGCGGCTCGCTTGAGCCAAAATGGCTACGGACAGTTTAAACGCCGTTTTGGGCCTTCCGGAGGGACCTATGAACATTGAGGGGCAACCACCCACCCCTCCCTCTCCTCCCCGCCCCCCCTTTCCAGGACGCGGCGGTGGCTTATGGAAGCCCTTGGTGGACATCCCGGCTGCTGTTCCAGGCGTTCCCGAGAGGACGGTGCGCCAAGGAGGGCATCGGCACCCTGAACATCATCGTTCCTCCCCTCCTTTCCCCCCTCACGGTGAGGACCGTCTTTAGGCCTCGCCAGTGAGGACCGTCAACAGGCCTCACACCCACGCAACTTCCATCATAGGGGTTGCGTGGGAGCCCATTCCCATTATTCACATGAGGGCGTCAATCGCCACCAGAGGGGGCCGAGGACTCCTCTAGGGACCCTCGGCCAACGAAGACGTCCCTAGAGGAGGGTCCAACGTACCTCCACACCTTTACAACTTCCCATGATGGCGTCAACTGCCACCCCAGCGGGTTTCCTCCCCGCCCTCGGGTGCCCCCGCCCTCCAGCACCCCCCCCCCCCTCCTCCCCCCTCCTCCCTCCTCCCCCCCCCTCCCTCCCCCCCTCCTCCCTCCCTCCCTCCCCCCCCCTCCCTCCCCTCCCCCCATCCCCCCTCTCCCTCCTTCCTCTCATCCCCTGCCCCCGCCCTCCCTCCCCCCTCCCTCCCGCCTGCCCCCTTCCCCCTCCCCCCTACCCCCCCCCTCCCTACCACCCCTCCTCCCTCCCTCTCTCCCTCCCGGCTGCCGAGGAAAAATTACCCTGGCGACGTACCCAACCCCTGCGCAATGCTGGGCAGGAGTAGCTTGGGAGATTTGACCAGAAGGCGGCAACGTGCCATGGACGCATACACTTCTGCGAGCGGCACTCGGAAGGTTCACAGGCCCCCAATCAAGGGAAAAACGATAAGTAACTGAGTGAGCCCCTGAGTCACTAAGGAAGACGCAAGGACCAAAAGGAGACTGTGAGCAGGGGGCTTGAAACGTGGGCGCGGCAACAACAACATGGAATGGCCGCCCAAGCACAACGAGGTCCCGCTCAGGTCTGCGCAGTGCCTCACTCCGCTGGACCCACCAGCAGCCTTCGAAAGTGGCGAGCCTACCAGCGGCCCTCGAAAGGGGCGACAGCGTCGCAGATCGCAGCCCCCCAAGGACGGCGAGGTCTCGCTCAGATCCCCGCGGTGCCTCAGTCCGCAGGACCCACCAGCAGCCCTCGAAAGTGGCGACAGCGTCGCAGATCGCAGCCCCCCAGGGACGGCGAGGTCTCGCTCAGATCCCCGCGGTGCCTCAGTCTGCAACACCCACCTGCAGCCCTCGCAGCAGAGGGGCGACAGCGTGCGCAGATCGCAGCCCAGATCGCAGCCCCCCAGGAGACGGCGAGGTCTCGCTCAGATCCCCGCGGTGCCTCAGTCCGCAGGACCCACCAGCAGCCCTCGAAAGTGGCGACAGCGTCGCAGATCGCAGCCCCCCAGGGACGGCGAGGTCTCGCTCAGATCCCCGCGGTGCCTCAGTCCGCAGGACCCACCAGCAGCCCTCGAAAGTGGCGACAGTGTCGCAGATCGCAGCCCCCCAGGGACGGCGAGGTCTCGCTCAGATCCCCGCGGTGCCTCAGTCCGCAGGACCCACCAGCAGCCCTCGAAAGTGGCGACAACGTCGCAGATCGCAGCCCCCCAGGGACGGCGAGGTCTACTCATTCCCCGCGGTGCCTCAGTCCGCAGGACCCACCAGCAGCCCTCGAAAGTGGCGACAATGTCGCAGATCGCAGCCCCCCAGGGACGGCGAGGTCTCGCTCCCCGCGGCGCCTCAGTCCGCAGGACCCACCAGCAGCCCTCGAAAGTGGCGACAGCGTCGCAGATCGCAACCCCCGAAGGACGGCGAAGTCTCGCTCAGATCCCCGCGGTGCCTCAGTCCGCAGGACCCACCAGCAGCCCTCGAAAGTGGCGACAGCGTCGCAGATCGCAGCCCCCCAGGGACGGCGAGGTCTCGCTCAGATCCCCGCGGTGCCTCAGTCCGCAGGACCCACCAGCAGCCCTCGAAAGTGGCGACAGCGTCGCAGATCGCAGCCCCCCAAGGACGGCGAGGTCTACCTCAGATCCCCGCGGCGCCTCAGTCCGCAGGACCCACCAGCAGCCCTCGAAAGTGGCGACAGCGTCGCAGATCGCAGCCCCCCAGGGACGGCGAGGTCTACCTCATATCCCCGCGGTGCCTCAGTCCGCAGGACCCACCAGCAGCCCTCGAAAGTGGCGACAATGTCGCAGATCGCAGCCCCCCAGGGACGGCGAGGTTTACCTCATATCCCCGCGGTGCCCCAGTCCGCAGGACCCACCAGCAGCCCTCGAAAATGGCGACAGCGTCGCAGATCGCAGCCCCCCACGGACGGCGAGGTCTACCTCAGATCCCCGCGGTGCCTCACTCCGCTGGACCCACCAGCGGCCCTCGAAAGTGGCGACAGTTCCGCGGATCGCAATCCCCCCCCAGGGACGGCGAGGTCTCGCAAAGACAGGAGGCGGGAGGCGGGAGGCGGGAGGAGGAGGAGGAGGGACGCGACCACACTGCTCTATTCAAAACGAATACCCAACCAAGGAGGGTTGGGAAAAAGACTGAGGCGGGCCAGCATCAACGGCAGGGGGCGGGGTCTGCAAAGTCCTCCGGTTTCGTCGCCGCACCAGCCAACCCGTTCACCAGCCCCTCGGCCGGCCTGACAGCGGCCTCTGACACCCAGGAGGGGGGGAACAGCAAGGGAGGAGGAGGGGGAACGCTTTGAGAAAGGCATGCGAGGGCGGCCTGGCAGGGGCGGCAGGGGGAGGAGAGGAAATGGAAGAGGGTGGGCTGGGCGCGGGGCGGTCGTGGATGACGCCCTGGTGGCCGTGGAAAGCGGCGCGGTGGTGAACTCGCAGTAGTCGGAGTGGCGGCGGTGGCCGCCGGCGCTGTGACAGTCGCGGTGAATGTCGCGGCGCTGTCGTCATCAAGTCGCTGGGCCCCAGGCGCTAGTAGTGGCGGTGGTTGTGGTGGGCACCGTCAGGGTCGGAGGAGCTTAAAATCGTGATCGTGGTGGGCGTGCTGGCGACCGTGGTGGCAATGGCGGCAGTGGGAAAGGTGGTAGTCGTGCTGGAGGTGGTGCTACTGCTGCTGGCCTTCGTCGTGCTGGGGCCGGTGGTGGCGGGAGCCGCGGGAGCAGCCAGCTGCCTCTCACCGCTCCACGGCGCTGAGGGTCATCTCCGCGCTCCTGTGTTGGAGGGTGCGTGAGATGCCCCGCCAGATCCGACTCAGGACCTCAGAGCGGTCGGCGCCAATACGAGAGGCACCGTCACTGCAAAAGAAGCTCAGTAGCCTCGTCGGACGGCCGCCCCCCGGTCTCGAAGACCATCGGGAATAGATCGAAGCCCTTCCGGGGGGGTAGCGGTCGCGTTTGTCCTCGACCATCTGGGCGGCTGCGAGCCCATCTCGTTCCGTTCGGGCGTGCCTGAATGGGGCGCAGGTAGAATGTACGCAAGTCGCCGCCCAATCGACGAAGATGGGTCGGCCAGTGCTGGGGTCGTGCGTCTGGATGTCAAACTTTGCCTCCTGAAAGACCCCGGCCCGGGGATTACGGTGGCCCCACGCCAGCACCCGTTGTTCCGTTGGCGCAGCAAGACCCGTGATATTCTGACGCATAGCTGCATGTCGGTAACGGAGGCGGTCGCGCCGAGCAACGCGGGATTGGCCCACCTCGCATGATTTGGCATGGAGACCGCGTGGGTCGAGGGCTTCTCCGCACAGCGTGCCGTCTCGCCGTCGGCGTTGGCACCGTGAGCCCGCGTGGCAGACCGGCGCACGGAGCCGGCACATGAGGCTCACTTCGACCTGGTCGTTTGGCTGCACAGGGTCACCCGGTTGCCGCGGCTGGAGAAACGCCCCTGCGCCCACGCCGCCGCAATCCCGGAGCGCCAGGCGGTCGTTTTCTGGGAGCTCCCGCAGCAACCGTTATGTTTTTCCTGGAGACCGCCTTACTAGACACACGCAAACACACACACACACACACACACTGTAGCTTAGCGTGGGGCTCTTGGAGACTACGGGCCCAATCGATGTGTTGTCCGTCTATCGCCCCCGAAGTTTGCAGCCTCTGCTCGACCTGGGCGAGCGCTTGCACTGTTTGCGGGCACCGAGTCCGGGACCCCTCCAGCGTACTCACGTCCACACACTTGGCCACGTCGTGGAGGCAGTGTGCCCAGCTCGCGGCGTAGGCTGCTGGCGCTGTCTGGGCGGCGAAAAGGATGGCGCACCCTCCGTCGGCGAGGCGCATGGTGGTTTGTAGCCTCTTTCTCTCGTCTAGTTAGCTCCCGCGAAGTAGGTGTTCGAGGGCCGAGAACCCCACCCCGTCGAGCTGCTCCACCCAGATGCTTTGCAAATTGGCTCGCAGGTGGTGGGTGACGCAACCCTGTGCGAAGGTTCTCAGCAGAACGAGGTAGGCCTCGGCTCAAAGTCCGACCCCTCCCTCCTCCCTCCCTCCCTCCCTCCCCTCCCCCCCTCCTTCCCTCCTCCTTCCCTCCCTCCGCCCCCCCCCCCTTCCCTCCCTCTCCCCCTCCCCCCTCCCCCCTCCCTTCCTCCTCCCTCCCTCCCTCCTTGGCATCCAACCGTGGCATGGCCCTTATTGCCCACGTGCGTTGGCTCGAACGCCGTCGTAAGCCATTCTGCTTAAAGTACCGGGCCTCCTGCATTACTTGCGCGCGCTGCCGCCAAACGCACTGCCAGCCAGGATGGTCTGCCGCAAGCCCAGTGGGCGCCGCGAGGTGCCGATTATCCAGCGGACGCGTAGGGTTCTGCCATGACAATCACGCAGCCAGGTGTGCCGAGTGTGCCAGTAGCGCCAGGTGCGCCGCAGTCCACTGCGCCCGAATTTCCACATATCGCTCATATCGCTCCTCCCATCGGACCCTATGTTTCATGTATCGCTCGTATCGCTCGTTAGAGAGATGGATTCAACGATAAGAATTCGTTCTCTTTCTACGAGCGATGTTAGCGATGTGTAAAAACAGGGTCCGATGGGGCGAGCGATACGAGCGATACGTGAAACAAAGGGTGGGGCACGACAAGGGCCACCCCAGAAAGGCCAGCGCTGATTGCACACGAGAATCCGCAACCGCTGCGGCCCCGCCAGCCCCGGCGCCCGAGCGACGAATCTGAGCCCCGACTTGCCCGCGGAGCGTCCGCGGCGTGTCCCTCGCCGCAGCCGCCCAGCGCCACCGACTGCGGGCCAAGCAGAAGCACCCAGAGCGCGTCTAACTGGAGGCCTGCCTCGAGGCATGCCCACAGGCCTCGGAAGAAATTAGCGAACACTCATGCCGCATTTATCTGTCAACGCCCCCTCCGCAATGATCAATGTCGGCAGTGGTTTAACTGAGCTGCACTTCGACCGCAGTCTTCGCCGCGCGTGCAATTTTGAGTTTTGAGGAGCGGGGGAGCGTCCACCAACCGTATTACAGGAGGCATCCAAGAAGCTTCTGCCCATTTTGCCGGCGCTCCTCTTGCTGCTTCGCCTATTCCTCCTCCTTGCTCCCCCTTCCTCCTCCTTCCTCCTCCTCCTCATCCTCCTCCTCCTTCCTCCTCCTCCTCCTCCTCCTCCACCTCCTCCTCCTCCTCTTGCTCCCCCTTCCTCCCTCCTCCTCCTCCTCCTCCTCCTCCTCCTCCTCCTCCTCCTCCTGATCCTCATTCCTCCTCCTCATCCTCCTCCTCCTCCTCCTCCTCCTCCTCCTCCTCCTCCTCTTACCTTGCTCCTCCTCCTCCTCGCCCTCCTCGTCCTTCTCGTCCTCCGCCTCCTCCTCCTCCTGCGATTCATCCTCCATCCTCCCCCTCTTGGGGTATGACGTCGTACCCAGTCCGTTATTATATTCCATGCTTCTCCACATCCCTGATCAGGGCAACTCGTCTGGGCATCGTTTCTGGATGAGCTGGTGGGGTTACATTTTTTTGTCGCAACTGTAGGCGAAGGCGCCGTCGGCGTCACAGGTCGGCTCGGGCTACGAGCAATCGTCTCACGGTGGTTTTCACCCAATCATACGGTCAAGGTGGTAACGTAAAAGCATGGTGAACCACAAACATGGTAACGGAGATTGTCATCTTCAAATCCAGCCTCCGACCAGCTAGGTCGGAGGCTGGATTTGAAGATGACGGGAATTGACCTCAGAACTATTGGACGCGGAATCCACCCCCATATCGAATGGGTGAGGCTGGCACAAGAGATTGTAGAGGGATGCCCCACATATACACACGTTTGTTATGTGTCCAATGGATACAAAGCCACTGGCAACATCTCACTGACAACCGTTGTGATCAGGCTCGGGCGTGGTCGGCGTCACAGGTCGTCTGGGCCTCGTTTCTGGATGGGCTAGTGGGGTTACGCGAAGCGTTCAGAATGTGGCGCGAGTGCACCTAGTTTGTCCTCCCCCTCTCCCCGCCCAACCCTACTGCACAGCCACGTCAGCACCCGAACAGCCAACGAACACTTCGAGTTAGCAAGCTAGCTGTCGTGGCTCCACTGGGCGTTGGCCACAAAGCTAAGGCGAGCCGAAAAGTGCGCGCCTGACTTTTCGGCACCTTCGGCGCGTCAGCGTGTAAGGAGGCGAAGGAAGGTCAGGAGGAGGCCAAGGGTGGGGCTGCATCTGCAGCAACATCGACAGCAGCAGAAGAGGCAGCAGGGGCAAGGACAGGAGCACATGCAGGGGACAGGAACTGGGCAAGTGACGGAGAAAGCAAGTGGCACAGGGAGAAGGGCGCGCCTCTGCCAGCCGATCCTCGGCGCTTGAGACGGTCTTAGAGATGGTGCCCGCGTCCTCGTCCTCGGACTCCGACTCCACGCTGGACGTCGGGCTGGACGTGTCGGCCTGGTGCGTTGCATGCAAGGTCTGTTGCTTGCCAACTGCTCCGTCCGACTCCGAATGGGAAATCCACGATGTCCATGATGCCACTTCTCCTCGCTCTCGCCGCGCTGCCTCAGACTGCCTCAAATGTCCCCGTGCCCTCGTCCCCCCTCCTCCCTCCACCCGCCTCCCCGTCCCACGTCCCGCCCCGGTCTCCTCGCTTGCCTCCCGCCGCCCCCCCTTCCCTCCCATCTCAGCCCCCTTCCTTCTTACGTCCCTCCTTCCATCCTCTCTCCGATCCACCCTCCCCCTTTCCTCCCCCGGCCTCCACCCTCAACATTCCGCTTTCTGGAGGAGGAGGAGGATGGGGACAAGGAGGAGGAAGAGGCCTCCCAGACAGCTCCAAGATAGCCGAAGAGGCTTCCAAGAGGGCCCTGGGCGGCCCACGAGGGTCCCAAGGCGGTGCCTGAGGCGCCCAAGACGTCCCGAGAGGGCCCCAAGACGGCCCCAAGAGAGGCCCAAGAAGGGAAACACGAACTGAGAATCCGAGCTTTCTACCCCGAGAGGTTCTCGGGAAGTCCCAAGAGGCCCCCAATCGGATCCAAGAGGCCCCCAAGAAGCTCCCAAGAGGGCCGACGAGGTTCCAAGAGATCTCCCAAGGTGGCCCCATGAGGCACAACTCATAGTTTTACGATTGGGCTCTGACGGGTTTTAATTTTGTTCGGCCTTTTGGCATCCCGATGCTCCAAGACGGCCCAAGAGGCTTCCAATACCGCTCCCATATAGAGGAGGAGGCCTCCAAGAAATCCCCAAGACGGCCCGCGAGGGCCCCAAGACGGTGCTTGAGGCGCCCAAGACGGCCCGAGAGGGCCCCAAGAGCCCCAAGAGAGGCCCAAGAAGGGTAACGCGACCCAGCAGCAGAGCGGTCCCCCCATCATCCTCTTCCCCGCCTCCCCCTCCACAATGGCACACCATGAATTCTACCCTCCTCTCTCCCCTGACCCTGTCGGGAAGATGGAGCGGCCTCTCCGCGTCATTCGTCCACACAGTATTGGACGAAAGTGTACGTGTGTATGGTTCGTATGGTTGTTTACAGTATGGTTGTTCTCGCTGTTTCAACATTGCGTTCCCGCTGCAGCGTGGGCCTCATTTTCAGATCGGCACTCTGTCCCCGTCGTTCAGAATGGTGCTCTCGCACCAGCGCGGCCACTTTTCTCCTAGTTTTTCCTCGTTATTGTAACCCCCTCTGTTCCCCTTGTCCGCCCGTCCGCCTTCCCAGGGTATTCCTGCTCCCCCGTTCCTACCACTCCGGTTCCCGCCGCTGCTGTTCGGCCCAGGTCCGCTATGACACGCGCCGGCGGATAGAGATAGATTAACCAGCCCAATGGGAAGGGATGGGTGGGAGGGGCAAAATGCCAACTCCCACCCGCCCTTTGAGGCGCGAGTGGTTTAGAGCGTTTCCTCGTTGACCCCACGTTTCTTCCCCATCTGGGAAAGGTTTATCACTGTTCCCTATTAACAAACACCCCCTCCCCAGGCGACTGGTAGCTAAGCAGGAACCATGAGGGCACCTCCCCCCACCATCCCTTGTATAAAACCATACCAAAAAAAAACACTCTGCCTCCAAATTCGGAGCATGCGCAGCCAACCCGATGCGGCCTCCCCCCACCATCCCTTTCAGCGGCGGCGGCGGCGGCTGCGGCGGCTGCGGCGGCGGCGGCGGCGGGGGGGACGGCGACGGCGGCGGCGGCGGCGGCGGCGGCGGCGGCGGCGGCGGCGGCGGCGGTGGCGGTGGCGGCAACGGCTGCGGCGGCAGCGGCTGCGGCGGCGGCGATTTGCGGCGGCGGCGGCGGCGGCGGCGCGGCGGTGGCGGCGGCGGCGACGGCACCGGCGGCGGCGGCGGCACGGCGCGGCGGCGGCGGGGGCGGGCAGCAGCGGCGGCGGCGGCGGCGGCGGCTGCGGCGGAGGCGGCGGCGGCGGAGGCGGCGGCGGCGGCGGCGGCGGATTGGCCCCCAGTAGCTGCCCATCCAAAGACGACTGCTGAATATGCTGAGGCTCGGGCCAGAGTCGGATGCTACGTATGTGTTGGGAGGGCGGGTGGGAGTGAGCGAGACGGCTTGCGGGCGGGGAGGGAATCTTGACCCCCCCCCATACCCTTCCCCCTGCGTTTGGAGGGGGCGGTCCGCGAGGAGTTGGAGCGTCCAAGATGGCCTCGACGAGGAAACCAAAACCACTGGCATCACGAAGGTGTGGGCCAGCACTACGGCCCGTCCTTTCATCGATCTCCTCCAAGATGGCCCCAAGATGGCCCCCAGGTCCCCGCGCACTGGCTGAAAAGCAGCTGGATGCCTATGTCCAAACTGATCAATACGTTAACAAGTCGAGCGCGCCGCCGCCTTGAGCGGCGGCGCCGGCTTCAACGCTGCAGTTCGCGACGGCACGTCGCAGTGTCTGCCGCCCGGCGCGGCACCGGAGCGAGAGGGGGGGCGGGGAGAGGAAGGCTCTCCTCGCCGGCCGGACTCGCGCAGACGCGACCACAGACACTACCGACGACACCACCGCGAGGGGGGGTCTCGGCGGGGGGCGGAGGGGGGTCGTCGAGGTGATCATGCCGTCGACGCTTCGGTCGCCGCCTCCTCGTCTCGCGGGCCCCAGCCGCCGCCGCGCCACCCAGAACGCGGTCGTCGAAGGGGCCGCCGTCGTCACGACCAGGGCCGCCGTCGCCGGGGAGGGAGTCGTCGTCGACGTCGTCGGTGCCGGCGTCAATGGCGTCGTCGTCGGGGGCGGGGTCGCCCTTGCGCGGGTCGTCGCCAGGGCCGCCGAGGCCGCCGGGAGGGCACCCCGACGCCGCCACCACCGCCGCCGCCGCCTGCGAAGCACCGGCGCACACGACCTCAGTTGGCAGCGGAAGACCCTGGAGGATCTCAAGGCCCAGGCGGCACGCTGCGACTTGCAGCTGGGCGCGTCGCTGGGTCGAGGGCTCCGCCGAGCAGGTAATCCAGCCGGACTTAGCCGTTACCCGTGGCTGAGCGGCCCACCACTCTGGCGGGATCTGGAACTCGGCGCTGAGGCGCGGAAGCGGGCCTCGGCGAAACGCGGGCAAAACGCCCACAAGTGCCGCGCGGAACAATGGAGTTCCGGGCACCACATGCAAGCCTGGGCGTGCTTCGCGCGCCACCGCCGAGTGGGAGTCCGAGTGCAACCCCCCCGCGCCAGATGCTGAGCAGCGATCGTGCGCGGGGGTCCAAGCTCTGGCGCCAGTCCCGCCACGGGGGGGCGCTCGAGGCCTGCACATCAATGTGCTCGATGCCCTCCTCGTCGTTCCTCAGCGGAAGGCCTCGGCGGGTCGCACGCAGGAGGAGGCACCGGGCCACGACCCGGAGGGCGCGTTGGCCAAGCTCGCCGGAAGCGTCGAAAGCGCCCGCCAGGCCCAGATACCCCAAGACAGCGGCCAGGGCAGGCGGGACCGCGCCCCGAGGGCTTGCAAGGAGGTCCCGAAGACCGGGTGCAGGGTCAGCCGCTCCGCCCACCACCTGCGCTGGCACCACCACGTGCAGTTGGTCCGCGAGACGCTCCGGAACGCCAGGCGCGTGAGCTCCACAGGTGGGGAGCAAACGAACGGAGCCGCCCAGCGCCACTTAGACGCCACGCACTGGATCCAAGCACGCTCCCGGATCTCCGCGGACCCGGGGAGGGTAGCCAGGCGAGTGGTAAGCTCAGTCACTTTGCCCCAGCCGCCCCCCATAGGCAGGGGAACCGGGGGGTGGACGAGGCCCGAGGACGCGGCCCCGCGGATGCCGAGGTGCTCGGCGGTTCCCGCTCCTTCCCACAGCTGCCTCTTGCCCAGGTTCTCAACCACGCCGAGGAGGGGTCGAGAGCTTCGGTGGCGGCGAGAGCAGCGTCCCGCGCGGCCGTGTCCGCAGCCTTCAAAGACCTGTCGTCCACGTACGACCACGCCCCCGTGGGGGTCCGGAGAGACTAAGGGGCCACGGGGCCAGAACGCAGCTAAGGACTCGCCCGCTGCACGGGCACCCCGCCGGCAGCCCCCGAACCGGGTGGAGGGGGTCGTTAAGGCAGCCCCCCACCGAACAGAACCGAGGAGCACGCCAGGTCTGCACCAGGAAGCGCACCACGGCCGGAGGCGCCGCGAACTGGTGGGCGACAGAGTCGTAGGCCTTTTGCATGTCCACCTCGGCTCCGGCCTCTCCAGGCGCGGCGGCCCAGTCCGCAAAGGACCGAACCGCTCCCGTTTCTCCCCAGGCGCCGTCGGGGGCAGGGGGGAGGGAACGAAGCAGGCAGCTGTGCCACGCCCGGAGCCACACGGGGGCGACAGCCACAGGACGAGCATCATCAGACCCACGCTAGGGGATCCCAGCGACGCGGAGCCCAGCAAAACGCAGCGACCGGGAGGCGGGCCACTCCTCCGGGTCCTCGAGAACCATGAGGAGCACCAAGCGAAGCTCTTCGGCGAGGCGCGGCAAGTGTTTCGCGATCGCCCCCCCCACCTCGCTGGAATCCCACCCGTCAAAGCCCGCGGTGCCAGAGACCTGAGAAAGGGCCTCCCTCCACCCGTCGGGGCTAGGGGGCGCCACGGTAGGGGCGCCACTGCGGGGACCCCGCAGTCAGCGGCAGCCTGCGGCCAGTCCGGTCGGCCGGCCGGAGGGGCGGGGCCGTCGGGAGGGCACCACCACGGCTCACAAGCAGCGCGCATGTCGTCTGCGGTGACGACTGGGGGCGGTAACCTTGGTCGCAAGTAGCCTGCCGAGGCCGCCGCCGAGCGAGCATCCCACCAGCGGAATTGCTCGCGCCAGCCTGCAGAGGAAGCCTTAGCGTCCAACGCGCCCTCGGCGGCGATCGCCCTGGACAAACCCTCTGCCGCGTCGCCTAAGCAGGGAGGGGGCGGGCCAGGCAAAAGGCCGTCGTGGCGGGCAGCGGCCCAGTGCCTTAGTAGGGAAGCGGGTGGGGGAGCCCGGTGACCCGCGCGCCGGGTCTCGTGGACCACCTGCCGGTACAGCCGCGCCAAGCGCCGCTGCCGGACCGAGGCGGCCGGTCTGTGAGCAGCGGCAGGGGCGGTCGGCCGAGTGCTCGGCGCAGAGCCCTTAGCACGCTCTGGCTGCCGGGAGACCTCGGCGAGGCCTAAAAAGACGGCTGCCCGGAAGGCGGCCTCGGTACGGGCGTGCCAAGAGCTGAGTGCCTGGCAGGCCCAACCCTCGCCGTCGCTGGGCCTGGGGGCGGCGGGGCGGGGCCCGGGCCGGGCCGCCGCGGGCAAAGGCGCCGGCAGGCCGCCCCAATCGTCGGCGGCCGCCTCGAGCAGCCGGCGTTCCTCAGCAGTCGGGGGGCGGAGCCAGCGGTAAAGGGCTGCGCGGCGAAGCCGTTCCTGCTGCACCGGGGCGGGGGCGAGGGTCCTGAGGCCGAACGCCATGCCAAGATGATGGGGCACCCCTGGGAGGGGAGCCACATCTTCGAGCCGAGAGGAGCACCCACACCCAAGGCACCGCGTTGGGGCCGCCGCGCCCTGTGTAGTGCTGGGGTGAGGCGGTGGGGTGGCCCACGGCGCCTGGACCAGGAGATCGTACGACTTCCGCCAATTCCCACGACCACGCTCGAGCCGGGTCCGGCCGCGGCGGACGAGGAATCGAGGGTTTCGGCCAACCACGGGACGTCCGCCCCGGCAGCGGGACCAAGGGTGCCTCAAGGGGTGCCCAGGAGGCCCCAAGAGGACCCCGAGAGGCACCCAAAATGCCCCCGAGAGGCTCCCGACAGACCCACAAGATGCCCCAAGAGGCTTCCCAGAGGCACCCAAGACGCCCCAAAAGGCCCGCTGGACTGCCAAGAGATCCCCAAGACACCCCAAGAGGACTCCAAGAAAAAACACACGAAAGAAGTCCGAGGAGATTCCGGGAGGCATCCTAGAGGCGTCTGCCCTTTCTGCTCGCCTTCCTCCTCCTCATCATCCTCTTCCCTCCTCCTCCTCCTTCTCCTCCTCCTCCTCCTGCGATTCCTCCTCCATCCTCACTCTCTTGGAATATGACGCCTTACCCATCCAGTCAGTCCATTCCATGCTTCTCCACATCCCTGATCAGGGCAACGCGTCTGGGCATCGTTTCCGCATGGGCTGGTGGTGTTACGCGAAGCGTTTAGAATATGGAGCGAGCGCACCCAGCTTGCCTGCCCCTCTCTCCGCCCAACCCTACTGCACAGCCACGTCAACACCCGAACAGCCAACGCGCACGCCGAGGTAGCGAGTTGGCTGTCGTGGCTCCGCCGGGCGTTGGCCACAAAGCTAAGGCGAGTCGAAAAGTGTGCGCCTGTCTTTTGTTGGCACCTTCGGCGCTCCAGCGTGCAGGACAAGGAGGAGGAGGAGGAGGAGGAGGAGGAGGGTCGGGAGGAGGCCAAGAGAGGGGCTGCATCTGCAGCGACATCGACAGCAGCAGGAGAGGCAGCAGGGGCAAGGACAGGAGCAGAAGCAGGGGACGGGAGCTGGGCAAGTGGCGGAGAAAGCAAGTGGCACGGGGAGAAGGGCGCGCCTCTGCCAGCCGATCCTCGGCGCTCGAGACGGTCGTAGACATGGTGCCCGCGTCCTCGTCCTCGGGCCCCGACTCCACGCTGGACGTCGGGCTGGGCGTCGGGCTGGACGTGTTGGCCTGGTGCGCTGCATGCGAGGTCTGTTGCTTGCCAACTGCTCCGTCCGACTCCGAATGGGAAATCTACGATGTCCATGATGCCACGTCTCCTCGCTCTCGCCGCACTGCCTCAGATGTCCCCGTGCCCTCGTCCCCCCTCCTCCCTCCACCCGCCTCCCCGTCCCACGTCCCGCCCCGGTCTCCTCGCTTGCCTCCCGCCGCCCCCCCGTCCCTCCCGTCTCAGCCCCCTTCCTCCTTACATCCCTCCTTCCATCCTCTCTCCGAGCCACCCTCCCCCTTTCCTCCGCCCTCCACCCGCAATCCACCTCCCTCCGCTCACCCCGCCTGTCCCTTCCCTGCCTATCCTTCCTCTCTCCTCACTACGACCTACCTTCCCTCCTTGCTTTATTGCCCTCTTCACCATGATCCTCCTCCTCCTCCTCCTCCTCCTCCTCCTCCTCATCCTCCTCCTCCTCCTCCTCCTCCTCCTCCTCCTCCACAATGTTACTACCCTCCTCTCTCCCCTGACTCTGCAGGGCAGATGTACCGCCCTCCCCGCGTATTTCTTACACACAGGATTGGACGAAGGTGGGCGTGTGTGTTGTTCGTATGGTTGTGTACAGTCCGATGTTTTCGGTGTTTCAACCGTGTGCTCCCGCTGCAGCGTGGGCCTCATTTTCAGATCGCGCTCTGTTCCCGCCGTTCAGAAATGGCGCTCCTCGGCCCCAGCACGGGCCACTTGTCTGGATCCGAAATCTTCCTCATTGTTGTCGCCGCCCCCGCTGTTCCCCTCCTCCGCCTTCCCCTGGTCGTCCTGCTACCCTCGCTCCTACCGCTCTGGTTCCCGCTGCCGCTGGTCGTCCTCGTGCTCGTTCCCCTCTTCCCTCGTTTCCCTCCTGCTGCTCCTGCTCCTCCTGCTCCTCCTGCTCCCCTTTCCGATTGCGCACAACACGATGGGGTCTTCTGATTGCGCACAACACGAGGGGTCTTCTGGGGAGTTCCAGGTCCGCTATGACACGCGTCGGCGGATGGAAACAAATCAGCGCAGTTGGAAGGGATGGGTGGGAGGGGTCGGGTGTCCGATATGGCGCGCGAGCGCACCCAGCTTGTCCTCCCCCATCCCGCCGCCCAACGCTACTGCACAGCCACGTCAACACCCGAACAGCCAACGCGCACGCCGAGGTAGCGAGTTGGCTGTCGTGGCTCCGCCGGGCGTTGGCCACAAAGCTAAGGCGAGCCGAAAAGTGTGCGCCTGTCTTTTTGGGCACCTTCGGCGCTCCAGCGTGCAGGACAAGGAGGAGGAGGAGGAGGAGGAGGAGGGTCGGGAGGAGGCCAAGGGAGGGGCTGCATCTGCAGCGACATCGACAGCAGCAGGAGAGGCAGCAGGGGCAAGGACAGGAGCAGAAGCAGGGGACGGGAGCTGGGCAAGTGGCGGAGAAAGCAAGTGGCACGGGGAGAAGGGCGCGCCTCTGCCAGCCGATCCTCGGCGCTCGAGACGGATGTAGACATGGTGCCCGCGTCCTCGTCCTCGGGCCCCGACTCCACGCTGGACGTCGGGCTGGGCGTCGGGCTGGACGTGTCGGCCTGGTGCGCTGCATGCGAGGTCTGTTGCTTGCCAACTCCTCCTCCTCCTCCTCCTCCTCCTCCTCCTCCTCCTCCTCCACAATGTTACTACCCTCCTCTCTCCCCTGACTCTGCAGGGCAGATGTACCGCCCTCCCCGCGTATTTCTTACACACAGGATTGGACGAAGGTGGGCGTGTGTGTTGTTCGTATGGTTGTGTACAGTCCGATGTTTTCGGTGTTTCAACCGTGTGCTCCCGCTGCAGCGTGGGCCTCATTTTCAGATCGGCGCTCTGTTCCCGCCGTTCAGAAATGGCGCTCTCGCCCCAGCACGGGCCACTTGTCTGGATCCGAAATCTTCCTCATTGTTGTCGCCGCCCCCGCTGTTCCCCTCCTCCGCCTTCCCCTGGTCGTCCTGCTACCCTCGCTCCTACCGCTCTGGTTCCCGCTGCCGCTGGTCGTCCTCGTGCTCGTTCCCCTCTTCCCTCGTTTCCCTCCTGCTGCTCCTGCTCCTCCTGCTCCTCCTGCTCCCCTTTCCGATTGCGCACAACACGATGGGGTCTTCTGGGGAGTTCCAGGTCCGCTATGACACGCGTCGGCGGATGGAAACAAATCAGCGCAGTGGGATGGGATGGGTGGGAGGGGTCGGGTGTCCGATATGGCGCGCGAGCGCACCCAGCTTGTCCTCCCCCATCCCGCCGCCCAACGCTACTGCACAGCCACGTCAACACCCGAACAGCCAACGCGCACGCCGAGGTAGCGAGTTGGCTGTCGTGGCTCCGCCGGGCGTTGGCCACAAAGCTAAGGCGAGCCGAAAAGTGTGCGCCTGTCTTTTTGGCACCTTCGGCGCTCCAGCGTGCAGGACAAGGACAAGGAGGAGGAGGAGGAGGAGGAGGAGGAGGAGGAGTCGGGAGGAGGCCAAGGGAGGGGCTGCATCTGCAGCGACATCGACAGCAGCAGGAGAGGCAGCAGGGGCAAGGACAGGAGCAGAAGCAGGGGACGGGAGCTGGGCAAGTGGCGGAGAAAGCAAGTGGCACGGGGAGAAGGGCGCGCCTCTGCCAGCCGATCCTCGGCGCTCGAGACGGATGTAGACATGGTGCCCGCGTCCTCGTCCTCGGGCCCCGACTCCACGCTGGACGTCGGGCTGGGCGTCGGGCTGGACGTGTCGGCCTGGTGCGCTGCATGCGAGGTCTGTTGCTTGCCAACTCCTCCTCCTCCTCCTCCTCCTCCTCCTCCTCCTCCTCCTCCACAATGTTACTACCCTCCTCTCTCCCCTGACTCTGCAGGGCAGATGTACCGCCCTCCCCGCGTATTTCTTACACACAGGATTGGACGAAGGTGGGCGTGTGTGTTGTTCGTATGGTTGTGTACAGTCCGATGTTTTCGGTGTTTCAACCGTGTGCTCCCGCTGCAGCGTGGGCCTCATTTTCAGATCGGCGCTCTGTTCCCGCCGTTCAGAAATGGCGCTCTCGCCCCAGCACGGGCCACTTGTCTGGATCCGAAATCTTCCTCGTTGTTGTCGCCGCCCCCGCTGTTCCCCTCCTCCGCCTTCCCCTGGTCGTCCTGCTACCCTCGCTCCTACCGCTCTGGTTCCCGCTGCCGCTGGTCGTCCTCGTGCTCGTTCCCCTCTTCCCTCGTTTCCCTCCTGCTGCTCCTGCTCCTCCTGCTCCTCCTGCTCCCCTTTCCGATTGCGCACAACACGATGGGGTCTTCTGGGGAGTTCCAGGTCCGCTATGACACGCGTCGGCGGATGGAAACAAATCAGCGCAGTGGGATGGGATGGGTGGGAGGGGTCGGGTGTCCGATATGGCGCGCGAGCGCACCCAGCTTGTCCTCCCCCATCCCGCCGCCCAACGCTACTGCACAGCCACGTCAACACCCGAACAGCCAACGCGCACGCCGAGGTAGCGAGTTGGCTGTCGTGGCTCCGCCGGGCGTTGGCCACAAAGCTAAGGCGAGCCGAAAAGTGTGCGCCTGTCTTTTGTTGGCACCTTCGGCGCTCCAGCGTGCAGGACAAGGACAAGGAGGAGGAGGAGGAGGAGGAGGAGGAGGAGGAGGAGGAGGGTCGGGAGGAGGCCAAGGGAGGGGCTGCATCTGCAGCGACATCGACAGCAGCAGGAGAGGCAGCAGGGGCAAGGACAGGAGCAGAAGCAGGGGACGGGAGCTGGGCAAGTGGCGGAGAAAGCAAGTGGCACGGGGAGAAGGGCGCGCCTCTGCCAGCCGATCCTCGGCGCTCGAGACGGATGTAGACATGGTGCCCGCGTCCTCGTCCTCGGGCCCCGACTCCACGCTGGACGTCGGGCTGGGCGTCGGGCTGGACGTGTCGGCCTGGTGCGCTGCATGCGAGGTCTGTTGCTTGCCAACTCCTCCTCCTCCTCCTCCTCCTCCTCCTCCTCCTCCTCCTCCACAATGTTACTACCCTCCTCTCTCCCCTGACTCTGCAGGGCAGATGTACCGCCCTCCCCGCGTATTTCTTACACACAGGATTGGACGAAGGTGGGCGTGTGTGTTGTTCGTATGGTTGTGTACAGTCCGATGTTTTCGGTGTTTCAACCGTGTGCTCCCGCTGCAGCGTGGGCCTCATTTTCAGATCGGCGCTCTGTTCCCGCCGTTCAGAAATGGCGCTCTCGCCCCAGCACGGGCCACTTGTCTGGATCCGAAATCTTCCTCATTGTTGTCGCCGCCCCCGCTGTTCCCCTCCTCCGCCTTCCCCTGGTCGTCCTGCTACCCTCGCTCCTACCGCTCTGGTTCCCGCTGCCGCTGGTCGTCCTCATGCTCGTTCCCCTCTTCCCTCGTTTCCCTCCTGCTGCTCCTGCTCCTCCTGCTCCTCCTGCTCCCCTTTCCGATTGCGCACAACACGATGGGGTCTTCTGGGGAGTTCCAGGTCCGCTATGACACGCGTCGGCGGATGGAAACAAATCAGCGCAGTGGTAAGGGATGGGTGGGAGGGGTCGGGTGTCCGATATGGCGCGCGAGCGCACCCAGCTTGTCCTCCCCCATCCCGCCGCCCAACGCTACTGCACAGCCACGTCAACACCCGAACAGCCAACGCGCACGCCGAGGTAGCGAGTTGGCTGTCGTGGCTCCGCCGGGCGTTGGCCACAAAGCTAAGGCGAGCCGAAAAGTGTGCGCCTGTCTTTTTGGGCACCTTCGGCGCTCCAGCGTGCAGGACAAGGAGGAGGAGGAGGAGGAGGAGGAGGAGGAGGAGGAGGGAGGAGGCCAAGGGAGGGGCTGCATCTGCAGCGACATCGACAGCAGCAGGAGAGGCAGCAGGGGCAAGGACAGGAGCAGAAGCAGGGGACGGGAGCTGGGCAAGTGGCGGAGAAAGCAAGTGGCACGGGGAGAAGGGCGCGCCTCTGCCAGCCGATCCTCGGCGCTCGAGACGGTCGTAGACATGGTGCCCGCGTCCTCGTCCTCGGGCCCCGACTCCACGCTGGACGTCGGGCTGGGCGTCGGGCTGGACGTGTCGGCCTGGTGCGCTGCATGCGAGGTCTGTTGCTTGCCAACTGCTCCGTCCGACTCCGAATGGGAAATCTACGATGTCCATGATGCCACGTCTCCTCGCTCTCGCCGCACTGCCTCAGATGTCCCCGTGCCCTCGTCCCCCCTCCTCCCTCCACCCGCCTCCCCGTCCCACGTCCCGCCCCGGTCTCCTCGCTTGCCTCCCGCCGCCCCCCCGTCCCTCCCATCTCAGCCCCCTTCCTCCTTACATCCCTCCTTCCATCCTCTCTCCGAGCCCTCGTCCTAATGCGCTGGAGCTACCATCAGGGGAGGCCGTAAGTCCTTTTCCTCCTTGCCTTCATTCGCCGCCTCTTCCTCCGCGCGAAGTATAGAATGCCTAAAGCGGGCGTGGCGACACCGCCAGCAAGGTAGCCAAAAACGGCTGCCATGAGCCGACTCGCACACAGCAGAAGGTTGTTCTACAAATCCCCCACCCACACCCTCCTGCCTGCATGGGCGTGTGGGGAGGGCTTTCCTAAGAAAGCCTCCCTGTGGGTTAAGGGCGTTAAGGGGCGGGGTCCCCTATCCCAAGACCCCCCCCCTGCAGGGGCGTTAGGGAGGTTCAGAAGAGCGTTCCTCAAGAACCCCTAAGGGGTCCTAAGAGAACCCCCTCTGCTGTGTAGGTTGGGAAATGAAGGGCAGATCCAAAAATGCCCCCACCGAAGACTGCGTCATGCGGCTTTACAAAGCGTTCCTACGAGAACCGTCCTGAGGCCCCAAAACAGGGCGCAAACGCCCGGCAAGAAAAAGCCGAGACGCCAGGAGCTCAGGGATGGCGCCGAACTCGGCGCCCGTGCAGCGGCCGAGGGGAGCTGCCGCGGCGCGCCGTGGCCGTCAGGCCGCAAGGGCACGGCGGTAGGGCCCGCGCCCGTGCCGCTGGTTCGTCTGCGCGGGCTCGGGCGCGGGCCAGCGTCCGATGGCGGCACCCCCCTCTACCTCCATTTCCCTCATCCTACAGTTCCTCTTCCTCCTCCTCCCTCCTCCTCCTCCTCCTCCTCCTCCTCTCCTCCTCCTCTCCTCCTCCTCCTCCTCCCTCCTCCTCCTCCTCCGCATCCATCCTCACCCTCTTTCCTCCTCCTCCTCCTCCTCCTCCTCCTCCTCCTCCTCCTCCTCGTCCTCCTCCTGTTCCTCCCCCTCCTCCGCGAAAGTTTGCTTCTCGTCCGTCTGCCTCCCTCGCTCGCGCCTGCTCCGTGGCGGTGGGCGCGGTGGTGTCGTTCGGCCTGTGGTGCGTGCGCGGGATGTTCATATCGAACTCGGCCTGAGCGAGTTGCAAAGAGGGGTCGGCCCCGACCCGACTCGTGTGGCCCCAGACCTCCCCCGCACCCTACTAAGAATGACGGATGTGTGGATGAGGAAGACACTCTTTAGCACCACAGGCGGTAGCAGCGGCGTGTGTTATAAAGCGCGTGCAAGGCGGACGCAGAAGGTAGCTCTCGCATAGCGCCGCGCAAATTCGCCGTAAACGTCTCCAGGAGTTTCACGGAAGCCGAGCCAGGAACATTCGACGGGCGAACGAGGAAGCTTTTCACAGCGAGCCAAGAGATTCCCCCCGACCCAAACGAAGAAATAAGTTTGGGCGAGCGGGCAAACTCCCTTCGGCCGAACGAAGAAACTATTTCGGACGAGCGGAAAAGTTCCCCCATCGAACGAAGAACCCTACAAACGCTGGAACAAGAAACTCCTCTTGGATGCCTCCAGACCAGATACCACGGAAAACTGAACACCTTCGATCATTCCTTCATTTCATCAGTGCCTCCGAGACCCTAACGCCCCTAAGAAACAAGGAGCCCTGTAAACACAATCGTTTGCCCAGACCCAATTGACCCTTCGAACCTCCCTCTTCCGATGCGCAGCGACTGCGTAAGAATGCGAAGCGGGCACTTGAATAACACATGTCTGCCCTAACTCTAAAAACTTTCACTTTTCATAAGAACTCTCGGCCACCCGACTTTACCCCAAGCCTCAATTTCAGGGCAGTAACCGTTGATCGGGCGAACGCTGAGTCAAAAAACACTCCATCACACGATTACAAAATCCGCCGAACGAGGAAACCTACGGACGCTGGAACAGGAAACTCCTGCTAGAAGCCTCCAAACACCACGGAGCGAAACCCGAACGCCCGCGAACAAACAACGATCCTGCAAACGCAGTTGTGTCTCTAGACCGAGCCCAGCCTTCGAAGTTCCTCTTCCAATGCACGACGACAAAAAGAAAATGCAAAGCGAACGAAAGAACAACACACGTTTAAAGTCTCACTGTTCCGAAGAACTCCCGGCCATCCCGAGCCGCCGAACGATGAAACCTACGGACGCTGAGATAAGAAACTCCTGCTGAAAGCCTCCAACCACCATGGAGCGAAACCCGAAAGCCCGCGAAAAACAACAAGCCCTGCAAACGCAATCGTCTCTCTAGACCCCCTCCCTGGCCTTCGAACATCCCCCTGCCGATAAACAGCGAGTGCATGATAATTCAAAACGAACACCTGAACAACACACGCATGCCATAATTTTGACAGGCCCCCCCCCATTTCCAAAAAGTTGTCGGCCACACCCAGTTTTCAATTGTAGAGCTATAACCACGGAACGGGCGAACGCCACGTCGAACGAGAAGACTTTCGGACGCCGGGATGGAAAACTCATGCTGGAAATCCCGGACACCACGGAGCGAAAGCCGAACGCCCGCGAAGACAGTGAGCCCGTAAACGCAATCATTCCTCTAGACACGATCTGGCCTTCGAATCCCTCATTTTTGCTATACACGACGACGACATGAAAATGCGAAGCGGCCGCTTGGATAACACACGGCTGCTGTTGTTTGATAAGCCCCCCTTTTCCGACGAGTTTCGGCCACGTCCAGTTCAAGTTTGAAGCAATAACCGTTGATAGGGCGAACGCTACATAGAAAACGACCCACCACATGATTACACGAGTCGCCGAACGAGGAAACTCATGGACACTGGAAGAGGAAACTCCTGCTGGAAGCCTCCAAACACCACGTAGCAAAACCCGAACGCCCGCGAAAAAAAACAACGGGCCCTGCAAACTCAATCGTCTCGATCGACCTCCAGCCTTCGAAGATCCCCCTGCCGACACACGAACACACCATAATAATGAAGGGCGAGCACCTGGATAACACACGCCTGCCCGAATTTTGATAACTCCCCGCCCCCCTCCTTTTACCAAGAATTCCTCGGCCACCCCGAGTTTTCAAATATAGGGGGGCAGTGGCAACTGATCGGGCGAACGAAGGAGATCGCGTTTCACGGGCGCCTGCCTTGGGAACATTCGGCGGCGCGTTTCGAACGGGGGGGGGGCCCAACACTCGGCGCCGTCGATCAGAACCAGGGGGACTTCCCTCCCCCTACCCCCCCCCCCCAACACCCCACCCTCCTCCCAACGGAGAGGGTGGTCCAAAACCCCCCCCCCAGGCGCCGGCGTTGGCGGCGGCCAGCAGCGCCGACGGCGGGGACGCAGCGACGATGACCAGCCACCCCCTCCGCGCCGGCGCCGGAGCCGGCGCGGGCGGCAGCCAGCAGCGCCGACGACGGGGACGCAGCGACGATGACCAGAGAGGGCCCAGAAGCCGAAGAGGGAACACACAAATCGCCATATCGAGCCCTCGGTCCCCAAAGGCAACCGAGAGGCCCTCAGGAAGGTCCACGAGGCTTCACACATGCTCCTCAGACGCCCCCGAAGCCCATCTGACGAGACCTCAAAAGGCATCCATTAAAACTCTGACCCCAAGACAAAACACGGCTGCGGGAAAAGCCGAAGGCCACACCACCACCACCACCAACCGCCACAACCACCACCACCACCACCACCACAAACAACCACAACCCACCACCACCACAACCACCACCACCACCACAAACCACTACACCACCGCCACCACCAAAAACGCGACCACCACCAGCACCACAACCCACCACAACCCACCACATCCACCACCACCACCACAAATCACCACACCATTACCACCACCATCACCACCACTGCCACCACCACCACCACAACCCACCACCACCAACACCACCACCACCACAAACAGCCACACCACACCACCACGACGACCACAACCACCACCGCAACCCACAACCCTCTACCACCACCACCACCGCACCACCACCCTCACCACACCCCACTACCACCACCACCATCACCAGACCAAAGCACCACGCCAAAACCACCACCACCGCCACCACCACTACCACCACCACCACCACCACGTCAACCCACCACCACCACCACCACCACCAAACGACCACACAACCATCACAACCACAGCGACCACCACCACCACCACCACAACAACTCACCCAACCACCACCACAACAACAACCCACCACCACTACCACCACCACCACAATCTACAACACCACCGCCAACATCGCCACAACCACCACCACCACTATCAGCAGCACAACCCACCACCACAACCACCACCACCAAAAACCACCACACAACCACCACCACCACCACCGCCACCGCCACCGCCACCGCCACCACAACCACCAATACCACCTCCACAAGCCACCGCCACCACCAACACCACCACAAACCACCACACCACAACCACCACCACCACCGCCACCACCACCACCCAAACCCACCGCCACCACCATCACAAACCACCACCACACCACCACCACCACCACCACAACCACCACAACCACCACAACCACCACAACAAACCACCACACGACCACCACAACCACCCCCGCCGCCACAACCACCAGCACAACCCACCACCACCACCACAAACCACACCACCACCACCACCACCACCACCCAAAACCACAACCACCACCACCACAACAAACCATCACGCCACCACCACCACCACCACAACCGCCACCACCACCACCACCACCACAACCACAACAACTACCAACACCACAACCATCACGACAAACCACCACACCACCACCGCCACCACCACCACCACCAGAAACCATCGCACTACCCCCACCACCACCACCGCCACCACCACCACCACCACTACCACAACGTGCCACCACAACCACGACAACCACCACCACAACCACCAACAACAACAACCACCGCACCACCGCCACCACCATCGCCACAACAACCACCACCGCCACCACAGCCCACCATCACCACCACCACCACCTCAGAAAGGCCCTGTGAGACGCGCAAGAAGCGCCCAAGAGGCTTTACAAATGCCCTGCAGAGGCCCCCGAGAGGCCTCCAACGAGACCACAAGAGGCACCCATCAGGACTCTGACCCAAAACCAGGGCACGGTGGCGGAGCGTCGTCGTCGTCGTCATCGTCGTCGCCGTCGTCCTCGCCGACGCTCCCCGCCGCCGCCGCCCGCCGCCGCAGGCGCCGGCGCGGGCCCAGAAAAAGAAGTCGTCGTCTTTATCGACGCCCCCCGCCGCCGCCGCCAGCCGCCGCCGACGCTGGCGCCGGCCCAAGGAGAGGGAGAGAGGAAACGCAGGGGGGAGGGGGAAGGGGGGGGTTCGATGAACTGCCCCCTTTCCATCACAAGGGGGTGTTCGAACCCCCCCACCACCGTCACGGGAAGGGGGGGTCCGGTTCAAACCCCCCCCCTCCAAGCGAGAACAAAACGCGCTCTTTAGGCGAACACGACGACGAAAAACAACCCACCACATGATTACGAGACTGCCGAACGGGAAACATACACACGCTGGGATCGGAAACCCCTGATCAAACCCCCCTACGCACCACGGAGCGAAACCCGAACGCCAGCGGAAAAACAACGAGCCCGATGAACGCAACCGTCTCTCTGGACCCCTTTCTACAGCCTTCGCACCTCCCTCTTCCGATACACAGCGACTACAGGAGAACGCAGAACGAGAACCTGAACAACACACGCATGCCATAATTTGACAGCGCCCCCCCCTTTTCCCAAGAACTCTCGGCCACCCCGAATTTTCAATTCTGGGGGCGGCGACCGTTGATCGAGCGAACGCCACGCCAAAGAACAACCCATCGCATGACTACAAGTAACGCGCGGAAAAATGCACAGCGAACGTCGGCGACCACAGGCGGGCGGCGGCAGGCGAACGGCGGCGACGACGGGGGGTCGGCCGAAGCGCGCGGAAGCAGGCACGGGACGTGCAAACGTGGGCCATGGGCAACTGTGGGAGAAACGCAACCGAAACCGATGGTGTGGATGGGCAACTTTCCCAAGCGTACTGTTGCATCCGTGCCTCCTCAATCCATGTTTAGCCACTCTCAATGACAAGCCCCGCGCGAAGAGCCTCGACATGGGCGCCCACGGCGGCTTGCACCCTCATCGCACATCCTTACTATCATGTTCGAACGCAAACTCAGGGGGGAAGCGCGTCGACCCACAGGAGCCAACCCATCGCCAAGACGCATCTGGTAGCCCCACCCTGCCCAGGAACGCTGGGATGTGCCATCGACGGGCCCATCCACGGGCCTTCCACGGCGGAAGAAACGGCATCTCCTTGGATCCTCGCAGGCGCGGCAACTTCTGGAGCGCCCCACATGGTGGGAACCGTTGCCCTTGAAATGAAAAGTGCACCCCACATGAAGAAACACCGCATGACTTGATCACCTAGCGTTCCCCGTAGAAACCCTGGGAGGTAGATCCTAGGCGATGGGGCTACGGAAGTGAAAATTGAAACTGATGAACCAGCCCTAAATTCGAAAACCAAAGCCGAATGCATCCGCCCGTGCCCTCCAGCGACTTCCATGCCTAGGGCAGCCTGCATCCAGCAGCACGCGCAAGAACACCAAGAACCAATCCTCCGTCGGCCAAGAAAACTTCCTCGTTGAACCGAAAACAAATTCCCCGTTCGACCAGAAAGCATCCACGGCACCCCCTGAGAATCTCCCCGCTCGCCCGGGAGAAGTTCCCCGTTCGACCCAGGAAATTATCCCAGTTCGGGACCGAAGTTCCTGGCTCGCGGCTGGATTCCCTCGTTCGCCGTCTCACCCATCACGGGTGGAAGGCGGCTCCTTTTCCTCCTCCTCCTCCTCCTCCTCCTCCTCCTCCTCCTCCTCCTCCTCCTCCGCCTTCTCTTCCTTCTCCTCCTCCTCCTCCTCCTCCTCCTCCTCCTCCTCCTCCTCCTCCTCCTCCTCCGCCTTCTCCTCCTCCTCCTCCTCCTCCGCCTCCCCCTCCTCCACAACGCCCCCGCACTGGCCAAAGTATTGGTCCACACCTTGATTCAGAAGCTGCAGTATCGCTATCCGCAGGTTAGGTTTCAGAATATTGTCGATGACTTCTTGTTGCAAATGATTAGTGGACGGTCTCAGGTGCTAGAACAGATCCCTTCGGCTATGATGGAGCTCATGGCCGGCCTAGAAAGCAAGCTTCTCAAAGTCGATTGGGATAAGACTATATGACCAGCACGCCTGACCTCGATACCGAGCTAGGCGGCCGCTGGGATCTTTGTGCCACCCAGAAAATGTCAGCAGGTAGGTGTCTTGGCGCGGACGCGAACAGCGGGGCCTCTCGTTCTGTCTCGGAGCAGGACAAGCGCTTGGCGAAAGCGAAGGCCTCGTAGCGTGTCGCGCAGTTGCGTGGGGCAGGTGCCAGTGTCAGCACGATCATGCGGGGGTCTCCTACGGCGACGGCGGTCTGGGGATCAGCTGTCACTGGCATCTCGGAGCACAAGCTCCACTCGCTCCGTGTTGCATCCCTCCGTGCCGAGGGTACGGCCCCCCCAGGGACGTCGGTGGCTCTGCGTCTCAGAGCCACGCCAAGGGGGGCCACAGGGACTGGGCACCCGTCTCGGCCGTGCTTGCCAGGGAGCACACAGTAGGGTGGACGGCTCAGATGTGCGCCGCCATCAGGTCGCTGGTCGGTGGTAGCCACTGGCCTCAAGCTCGAGTGCACTCTCATGGGAAGGCTCTGCACGATCAGTGCGCTCACTGTGGTGCTCGAGGCTCACTCTTCCATCGATTTTATGATTGTCCCAGGCTGCTCTTGGTCAGACGGGAGCTGTGCCCGCCACATGTTGAGCAGGCCGCAGATGTTGTCAAAGGGCTCAGCGAATATTACGGCGAAATGTTTTCCCGCTGCCTGTGGCCCCTGGCCGAGTCGCGCCTTACCCCACCACGAAGCTCCCGAAGGAAATTGGCTGCGTTTCGTCAGGGCGGTTCCTGGGTGGAGGTTCTCGGGTAAAGTCTTCGTGGACGGGTCCGCTGTCAACACAGCCCATGAAGGGCTCAGCCGAGCGGGGTGGGCTGTTGTGGCCATAGACCCCGCAGGCCAGCTTGTTGCAGCAATGTATGGTGTAGATTCTATATGGTTTGCCCCGGCCCAGGTTGCGAGGGACGGGAAGGACTACGCCTTCTGCATGCTCAGCGGTTTTTCTGAATGGAATGCCGAAAGTCCCCTTGAGGTCTCCTGTGACTGCTCAGGCACTGTTGAGTGTGCGGAAAATGCTGGCACAGCTTTGTCTTATGATAACCCTCGGCGCCACAACTGGACTGAATGGTGGGCCGGCATAGGTCGGCGAACGTCAGTTTATAAAGTAAAGGCCCACCAGTCCGAGGCTAATGCGATAACTGATCATGATACCTGGCTAATTCGAGGCAACAGGATGGCAGATCAATATGCCAAGCAGGGGGCTAAGCTCTGGACAATTCCTGAGCGCTAATCCTTATTTGCTTCAGGCTGCAAGCGAATCGTAAGGGATTGTGTGTTGTGGCACGGACGTGCCCAGGCTGCTTTCGGGTCCCTGGAGCAGCCCGATTCAGACGGCATTGCCAGCACAGCGGATATTAAATTCGAGGCAGCCTTGTCGCAGGCCCTCCAGGAGGCTTGCCAGGAGGCGGGGGTGAGGCCTTTCGAGCGGGGTCCCAGGGCCATGGGTGCTATGGGCTCTGCTCCTCCTCCCCCACCGCCTCCGCCTCATCCTGCCCCCAGGGACTTCCTCCAGGTTTCTGGGGTGTCCTGGGAGCTTAGAGACCATTCCATCGTCCAGGCCACGGTCCAGACAGATGACGGTACAGCTCTTGATGACATAACTGTTTGTAAATTCCGTGGGGCTTCGGCGCATCAGAGTGCGCGGGGAGGCCTTCAATTTGATTGCAAAGGGTCCTCCCATTCGGGGTACAAGACCCAGAGGTCCCGCTTAAGGCGTGGCCTATTCCCAGGCCATAACTTGGGTAAGGCCATTGTGGGCACTCCGTATGGCCCGACAGATGAGACGAAGGCTGTTTGGGGTCCTTTGCTTGGCTGTGTGCCTGTTTGGGGTGGTGCTGGTGGGGATGCGGGTCCTAACAGCGATGCTGTAGAGGCTCCTGCTGCGGTCGAGGGGGATCCTCTCCCGACCTCAGCGATCGCTCAGCTTCCGGCCTTATCACCCCAACTGATTTCGAACTTGCACGGTTTCGCTATCCCCGAGGCGCTTGTTGCTTGGGAGAGTGACAGGCGCCATCGGGATGACAATTCGGTCGGCTGATAGGGACGAGGAGGATAGCACAGGCTAGTCTCCTGCGTTCGGCCTGTGTGCCAGGGGGTGTCGACCCACCCCGGATCATTAGTACACTGAGTACCCTCCCCCTCCTCCTCCTCCTCCTCCCCCTCCCTCTCCTCGTCCTCCTCCTCCCCCGCCTCCTCATCCTCCTCCTCCTCCTCCTCCTCCTCCTCCTCCTCCTCCTCCTCCTCCTCCTCCTCCTTCCCGTCCTGTTCCTCATCATGCGTGGGGCCTTCGGCCACCCCCTGGCCGCATCCCCCAAAAGCGGCCTGGCCTGGCTCTGGGGTCTGCCTCTCCCCGCCAGGCTCGGGGTCATTGACACCCCGTTCGGAAATGCCGCTGAATCTAGACAAATGTTTGTCATGCTGGGCGAACTTGAGCGCCGTGGCTGCAGCGTTCATATGACAAAACAGTGAGTGCCGACTTAGGCCATGAGGCCAACAAATTACGCCTGGTGAATCTTCCTCGTCCTCCTCCTCCCTCTGCTGCTTCCTGTTCCTCGCCCATCCCCATTCATCCTTCCATCGGCGGCGCGCCGAGGGGGAAGTGAGGGGGGGCAGGCCTGATCAGTAGGCGGCGGGGCTTCTCAGAAGCCCTCTGGCCTCCTGAGGGGCCACCCGAGGCTTCGGAGAAGGCTTTGAAGACTTCTCATACGGCTGGGGAGCCGTCGGAAGCCTTCTGAGAAGGGCCCGCCCCGTCTGCCTTCCCCCCGGGCGCACCGCCGAGCACCGGGAAGCGACGCAAAAGCGAGATCCACGAAGCTGACGGCAGACTCCGTCGAAGTAACCAGCGGGGTCGTGGTCGACTCCTGTGGGGATAATGACGAAGACGACGACGACGACGACGACGACGACGACGACGACGACGACGACGACTACGACGACGACGACGACGGCGACGACGATAATTATAGACACGATTGCGAGGGGGTCTGTTCATGACGCTGATTATCAGCAAGTGCTGACGAACGAATACGGCCGTGACCGTGCGACTATTAAAAACGATGGAGAAACTGCAAAACTATCACTGGGCAGAAGGAGGACGGAACAACACTGCACCATGTGCAACACCGCCTTCTTGACCACCCGTGGGTACAGAGCCACTCCTTAACAGTCCTTCCGACTTGTCGCTCATCAGGTGACCAAACTTGGAATCTCTCAGGGGCAGCAACCACGGGTGAATAGAGCGGCCAGAAAGTCGGGCAGCAAAACGTAACGCCTTGCGCAGCCATCGAGTGAACTGCGCGGACAGAAGCAACATTGAATGCAATAGCGTCCCACCCTCTCTCTCCTCCATCCACCTCCTCCTCCTCCACCTCCTCCCCTCCTCCTGCCCCCCTCCATTCCTCCCCCATCACTTCTCCCTTCTCCCTCCGCCCCCATCATCCCTCCCTGCCTCCCTCCCCCTCCGCCTTCCCCCCTCCCCCGCCGCTCCACCCTCGCACCAGGCGCGGGGAGCAGGGACAGATGGAAAAGCCGAGGGCGCCGCGGAGGCGGGAAGGGGGAACTGCCCAGCCGCGCTCTCAAAAAGTGGCCTGACGAAAGACCCAACCACATTCGGTTACCAATTTCGGTGGAGCTCCTCATGGGGCCACGACCACGGTGCGCCGAAAAGGGTGCGGTGGTGCCATGCGAACCCTCCCACTGGAGCCTTCGATGGAGCTTCCTTTGGGGCCACGAACCGTGCGAGGGGTGTACCGAATTGGGCGCGGTCGTGCCATGCGAACCCTCCAACTGAAGCCGTCGGTGGAGCTCCTTATGGGGCCACGAAACGTGTGAGGGGTGTGCCGAGTTGGGTGCGGTGGTGTATGCGAACCCTCCCACTGGAGTCTTCGATGAAGCTCCCTCTGGGGCCACGAGATGTGTTAGAAGTGTGCCGAATTGGGCGCGGTGGTGCCATGCGAACCCTCCCACTGGAGCCTTCGGTGGAGCTCCTTCTTATGGGGCCACGAAACGTGTGAGGGGTGTGCCGAACTGGGTGCGGTGGTGCCATGCGAACCCTCCCACTGGAGCCGTCGGTGGAGCTCTCTATCGGGAACCTTGTGAAGGGTGTGCCGAATTGGGCGCGGTGGTGTCATGCGAGCCCTCCCACTGGAGCCATCGGTGGAGCTCCTTATGGGGCCACGAACCGTGTGAGAGGTGTTCCGAGAAGGGTGCGGTGGTGCCATGCGAACCCTCCCACTGGAGCCGTCGGTGGAGCTCCCTCTGGGGCCACGAACCGTTCGAGGGGTGTACCGAATTGGGCGCGGTCGTGACATGCGAACACTCCCACTGAAGCCGTCGGTGGAGCTCCTTATGGGGCCACAAACGTGTGAGGGGTGTGCCGAATTAGGCGCGGTGGTGTATGCGAACCCTCCCACTGGAGCCTTCGATGGAGCTCCCTCTGGGGCCACGAGATGTGTTAGGGGTGTGCCGAATTGTGCGCGGTGGTGCCATGCGAACCCTCGCACTGTAGCTGTCGGTGGAACTCCTTATTGGGCCACGAACCGTGTGAGGGGTGTGCCGAATTGGGCGCGGTGGTGCCATGCGAACCCTCCCACTGGAGCCGTCGGTGGAGCTCCCTCTGGGGCCACGAACCGTGTGAAGGGTGTACCGAATTGGGTGCGGTGGTGCCATGCGAACCCTCCCACTGGAGCCGTCGGTGGAGCTCCTTATGGGGCCACAAACGTGTGAGGGGTGTGCCGAATTGGGCGCGGTGGTGTCATGCGAACCCTCCCACTGGAGCCTTCGGTGGAGCTCCTTCTTATGGGGCCACGAGATGTGTTAGGGGGTGCCGAACTGGGTGCGGTGGTGCCATGCGAACCCTCTTACTGGAGCCGTCGGTGGAGCTCCTGATGGGGCCACGAACCGTGTGAGGGGTGTGCCGAATTGTGTGCGGTGGTGCCATGCGAACCCTCCCACTGGGGCCTTCTGTGGAACTCCATATGGGGCACGAACCGTGTGAGGCGTGTGCCGAAGTGGGCGCGGTGGTGCCATGCGAACCCTCCCACTAGGGGCTTCGATGGAGCTCACTATGGGGCCACGAAGCGTGTAAGGTATGTGCCGACACAGAGACATTCGGAGGGCAGAGGCAGGGATGGGAGAAGGGAGGAGGAGGAGGAGGAGGAGGAGGAGGAGGAGGAGGAGGAGAAGGAGGAGGAGGAGGAGGAGGTGGAGGAGGAGGAGGAGGAGGAGGCGGGGGAGGAGGAGGAGGAGGAGTGGGAACGCGGGGCGC